AGAGAAGAGTCAGTCTAAGACTAGTATTTTAAATTGAGAAAAGGTTAACTATATGGGCATTAAAACGGAGCTGGATGAAGTGAACTGGATTACTAGGCTAACATATAGATTAATAGAAAAGCATTGGCAGATATTTAACTGGCGATTTGAGAATACTGGGAATAAGAACTGTATACTCCTATTATAAAGAAAATACTGAGGGTAGATCGACCGTCTGTTGTTAACTAAAGTTAAGGCAAGCATTAAACTTAAAGAAAAAGCATATAATTATGCAAACATGAGTGGCAGTTCAGATGATTGGACAGAATACTAAGAAATATAAAATGCAGAGGGCAAGAGTTTCTACAGGTATTTAAAAAAGAAAAAAAAATAGAATGTTGGCCCTCTGTAGAGTCAGTGAATGAGGAATTAGTAGTACATATTAAGGAACTGGGGTGTGGAATGAACAAATGTATTGCTTCTCTCTTCTCTGTCTAGGAAACAAAAATCATTCCAGTAATAGTTTTTAATCAGGACGTGGGAGAAAGGAACTTGGTGAAATTGCAAATGTTAGGGAAACAGAACTGCGCAGCTAAAAGATGAAACTGAGAGCTGTCACAATGGACTTCATCCTAGGATTTTAAAAGAGGTGACCAATGAGATAGCAGATGCATTGATGTTAATTTTCCAAAGTATGCTAGATTCTGGTAAGGTTGCAGAAAGCAGCAAATGTACCTTCTCTATTCAAGAATGGGATGCTCCAGAAAACAGGAAACAATAGGCCAGATAGCTTGATGTCTGTTGTGGGGAAATATTAGAATAAATCATTAAAAACCTGGATCTGGAGAGAAGCTAACAACAATCAAGGGAGTCAACATGGTGTTTGAATGCATATTTAGCTGACTTATTAGAGTTCTTTGAAGCAGTAACATGCACTGTGGATAAGGGACACTGCAGATGTATTGTACATTGATTTCCAGAAGGCATTTGAAAGGTGCCAAATAAGAGGTTATTTTGCAAAGTTGTAGGGGGTGACACATTAGCATGGCTAGAAGTTTGGCTGAAAACAGAGACCATGTATAAATGGGTCTTCTGGTGATTGGCAGGATATTATCAGTAGAGTCCTGCAAGGATCTACAATCAAGATCAATGACTTAGCTGTTGACATGACCAAGATTCATGGGAAAGCACATGGTAAAAGAACATAAGGAGAATGCAATTGGATACAGCTAGGTTCAGTGAGGGGGCAAAAATCTGGCAGCTAGAATATAATATGGGGGAATATGAAGTTTGTCACTTTGGCAAGAAGGATAAAAAGAAAAGTATTACTTAAATAGAGAAGTTCTACAGAATTCTGAGATGCAGAGGGATTTGGAGTTCAAGTTCACAAGTCACTAAGAGTCAGTATATAGCTAACGTGAGTAATTAAGAAGCTTAATGGAATGTTATCCTTTATTATGGTAGGAATTGAACATAAAAGTGAGAATAAAATTGAGAATACTTTGCTTCAGTTATATAGGACATTGGTGAGACCACATCTCAAAAACTGTACAGTTTTGGTCTCCTTATTTAAGGAAGGATGTAAATGTGTTGGAAACAGTTCAGAAGAGTTTTAATAGATTAATACCTGGAACAAGTGAGTTGTCTTATGAGGAGACACTGGATGGAAAGAGCTTGTTTCCAGGGGAGTTTAGAAGAGAGAGGTGAGACTTGATTGAATTGGATAAGATCCTGAATGGTCTTGATGAGGTGAACATAGAAAGGAAGTTTCCTCTTGTATGTGTGTGTCTAGAACTTGAGGGCACTGTTTATAAATTAGGGGTCATCCTTTACTACTCTTCATTTCCCATGTGCTGTCCCTCTAGAGGGCCAACATTCTAATCACTATTTTCCTGTATATAATAGTTAGTTGCAATAAATGCCTACTTTGGATTCTTCAATACAGCAATATTCATCCACAGCTTATTATGTTATGGAAGATAAACATTGCCATATTGGGGGCAAACTCACACTACATTTTGAGTAACTTCCCCAACAACAGGAAATTAGAGATGCAAGCAATAATGGTACAGCCTTCAATCTGCACATTGATTGGGCAAATCAGATCAGTATCATAACTGTAGAGGATGAATTTTTGATGTGTTATAGGATGGCTTTCTGGGCCAATACATTGAGGAACCAACTAGAGAACAGGCCATCCTAGACTGGGTATTATGTAATGAGAAAGGAATAATTGGCAGTTTAGTTCTCCAAGACCTCTTGGGGATGAGTGATGATAATATGATTGAATTCCTCATCATGATGGAGAGTGGTATGGTTGATTCTGAGACTAGGGTCCTGAATCTAAATGAAAGACACTACAATGGAATGAGGTATGAACGAGCTATGATAAATTGGGGAAAGTTACCTAAAGGGATGTCTGTGTTGATGGCAAACATTTAAATAGCACATGGTGGAAATGCAACAATTGTTCATTCCTGACTGGCACAAAAATAAAACAGAACTGGTGGTCCAACCAAGGCTAACAAGAGAAATTAGGTATAGACTTAGATCCAAGGAAGGGACATATAAATTGGCCAAAACAGCAACTGACCAGAGGATTGGGAGCAGTTTTAATTTCAGCAAAGGAGGACAAATGGATTGATTGGGAGGGGGAAGATAGAGTAAGCTTGCAGTGAACATACAACTTGACTGTAAAAATTCTGTAAGTACGTGAAAAGGAAAAGATTAATGAAGACGAATTGTAGGTCCCTTACAATCAGAAACAGCAGAAGTTATAGTGAGGAACAACAAGTTGACAGACCAATTAAATACTTTGCCTTCAGAAAAGAGGACACAAATAAAGTCCCAAAACTGTTGAGGAACAAATTGCCTAATGAGAGAGAGAAACTGAAGGAAATCAGAATTAACAGGGAAATGGTGTTAGGGAAACTAACAGGATTTAAGGCCAATCAATCCCCACGGCCTCTTAATCTACATCCCAATATACATAAGTAAGTGAACTAGAAATAGTTATTTCTGAAGAAGGACCCTGACCCGAAACGTCAGCTTTCCCACTCCTCTGATGCTGCCTGGCCTGCTGTGTTCCTCCAGCTCCACACTGTGTTAACTAGAAATAGTGGATGTGTTGGTCGTCATTTTTCAAGATTCTATAGACTCTGAAATAGTTCCCATAGATTGGAACGTAGCTAATGTAACCCCGCTATTTAAAAAAACGAAATAGAAAGAAAACAGGGAATTACAGACTGGTCAGCCTGACGTGGTAGTGGGAAAAATGCTAAAGTCCTCTATAAAAGATTCAAGAGCAAGTCACATGGAAAGCAGTGACTGAATTGGTAGAATCAGCATGGATTTACAAAGGGGAAATCATGCTTGACAAACCTACTGGACTTTTCTGAGGATGTAGCTAACAGTGTGGATGAGGCAGAGCCAGTGAACGTGGTTTCTTGGATCTTCAGAAGGCTTTCGATAAGGTTCCGCATAAGAGATTAGGATGTAAAATTAAAGACCATTCGATTAGGACTAGTACTGACACGGATAGAAAACCGGCTGGAAGGCAGGAAACAAAGAATAGGAATAAACTGATCATTTCTCCGAGTGGCAGGCAGTAATTAGCGAGGTACCGCTGGGATCAATAGTTGAAACCCAGCTATTTACAGAAGATATTAATGATTTAGATGAGGAAACTACATGTAATAATTCCCAGTTTGCAAGCGACACAAAGCCGGGCGAGAGGGTGAGCTGTGACGAGGACACGGAGATTCTTCAGTGTGATTTGAACAAGTTGAGTGAGTGGGCAAATACATGGCAGATTAAGTATAATGTGGATGCAAATGAGGTTATCTACTTTGGTAGCAAAAACAGAAGGAAGATTATCTGAATAGCAGTACATTGGGAAAGAGGGAGGTGAATGAAACCTGGGTGTCTCTGTACACCAGTTACTGAAAGTAAGCTTGTTGGTGCAGCAGGTAGTGAAGGTATGTCAGCCTTCATAGTGAGAGGATTAGAGTGCAGTAACAGGGATGTCTTGCTACAACTGCACAGGGCCTTGGTCGGACCACAGCTGGTGTATTGTGTGTGGTATTTTTTATCTGAGAAAGGATATTCTGGCTGTGGAAGGGATGCAATGAGGAGTTACTAAATTGATTCCTGGGAAAGCAAAACTGACATATGAAGAGAGACTGGATTGTTTGGGACTACGGTCACTGGAGTTTAGAAGAATAAGGGGGCGGGGGTTGGAATCTCATAAAAAAAGCCTACAAAACTCGAAGAGGACCGGACAGGGTAAACACAGGAAGGATGTTCCTGATACCTAGGGAGTCGAGGACCAGAGGTCACAGTTTATGGATATGAGGTATATCATTTGGGACTGAAACAAGGAGAAATTTCTTCTTATGGAAAGTGGTGAGCAGTTTGAGGCCAAAACATTGAATGTTTTCAAAAAAGGAGCTATATATAGTTCTTAGGACTAAAGAAATTCTTGGTTATGGAGAGAAAGCAGGTACAGGGGACTGAGTTGGAAGATAAGCCATGACCATATTGATTAGGGGAGCAGGCTCGAGGGGCCGAATGGCCTATTCAGTTTCCTATTTTCTATGTTTCTGTGACTCATACATTCCATTCCAACTTTTCCAATAACTTGCCATCAATCAAATCATGCCAATCTGTTATATAATGGAGCAATTACTTAAGTTTTGTGGCAAGGCTGAAACTGACTACAACAATGTGAAAAGACAAGTAAAGGTGTATTTCAGATGTTTAGACAATGGCTGGAATGCAGCCAACTTGCTTCGGGATCTGTTATTTAACTCGTCATATTGCTCAGGAAATTAAACCACGTGCTTGAAAACTGCACTTGGAAACCAATTTTGTGAATTTTTCTCTTCATATTTTGTTAAGCATTTGCCAATTTATGCAATTCAGCCTGAATAAATCACTTGCTGGAGTGGTCAGAATAAAATGAATTCAAATCTTACTATTATCTGCGGATAAGCCAGCAGCTTCTACTTATGTTTTTACCACCTCCTTTTGGATCTGGGCCAATGGGTGGAAATTCATCAATTGTGAGATCAGTCAGACTATAAATGCAGTGACTTTGGGGCAAAGAAGCAGAGGATTGCCCGAGTCAGTACAATCAGCAAATAAAAAAGAAATGATGAACTGCAGAGCTATCTTCATCATCTTAGCCATCCTGATGCTTTCTGGACATTTGACAGACGGTAAGAGAATTTTTGTGCTTCTCATGGACCCTAATCATTTTGTTCACTTGCTGAATTGCAATGTTATAGTAGAAATCTTCAACTTGATACAAAATAGGGTACACCTTAACCTGTGAGAGATTGCATGAGAGGCTTTTTTTTATGCTACTGTCTCGTCGTTGTGGAATTACGAAAAGACATGCGCAGCATCAAGATGCGGTGATCATCTGCAAATGGGTCCATGGGCTGTAGCTCTTGCAGAAATTTAGAAGTTAAAGGATGATCTGATTGAAGTCTTCAAGGTATTAATAGGAAAAGACAGGGTAAATAAAGATAGACTATTTCTACGAGTTGGAGATTCTAGAACTAAGGGGCATATTCTGAGAAGTAGGGCCAGACTGTGCAGAAGAGATATTAGGAAGCACTTCTACACACAAAGTGGGTTAGAGACTTGGGACTCTCTTTCACAGCCTGTGGTTGATGTCAAATTAATTGTTATGGTTAAATCTGAGAGAGATCAATTTTTACTCAGCAAAGGCATTAAGGGATATGGATGAAGGATAGATATATGGAATTAGGCTGCAGATCAACCATGATCTCATTGAATAGTGTAACAGGCTCAAAGGGCTGAATGGTCTACTCCTGTTCCTATGTTCCTAGATACTTCCTGCCTCAATCTGGCAGCCTTTTACTTCTTAACGGTAAAATAGTTCTAAATGCTGACATGGTTTCATAACATAGGAGAAAGAACCGCAAAGAGAGGGTTATAAAAAAGATTGTGAGAAACTACAGAATTAGATCTTAACACTTCATGTCTCTCTGTCCAGGCCGAGCCATTGGTGCAGTGAAAATCAATCTGCGTTGTCAATGTATCAAATCCACACACGAGATCATCCCCCGAAAGTTTATCAAGAATCTTGAAATCATACCTGCGGGTCCACACTGCGCCAAAGTTCAAATCATGTGAGTAACTTCATTGGAGATCCTTAGGTGCATTGTTGAAAGATGTGATGACCCAGTTTAATGATCCTTGCCCTGAATGCATGGTATGAGAAAGAGCAGAGCGATTGGCACAGAATCCCCACAATTATTGCACAGCTCGGAAATAAACAAGATAACTAGTTGCACACTTTCGATACACCCAAACTAAGAGGTCAAAATAACATTGTTTGTGTTTTCTTTTCAGTGCAACCCTTAGAAAAGGAAGGAAGGTCTGCGTGAATCCAAAGGCACATTGGATACAAAAGTTAAGAAGGGCTTTGCAAAGGTACATTTTTACTTTGTACTAATTCCTAATACTGTGCATTATTTTTATTGTGAGGGGCTTCCTATTTATGAAAGCCCCAAAACATAAAACCAGTATTCTGTTGCTAATGACAAATCCTTTTTCTTTCATAGAGAAGAAGATAATTGAGGGAAGATGGACAATCCCTTAGAACCGGTTAATAACTTCTGCAAGATTGCCGTTATTTCTGGTGGTTACGTTGGTCCAGCCTTTCCTGTTTGAAAGGATGCCTGTTATTAACACTCTAAACTGGCTGAAGCTGAAATGAGAAGCTTGTATCTTGTCCTGACAGGTCATGTATTAATTTCCTTACACCTACAGACCAATCTTGACTGTTGGCTTGCTCACAAGCTCCGTGTTTTCTCAGAGGTTAATTTAATTTTCTTTAATTGGAGTATTAGTCTAGAGTGAAGGGTGAGAGAGGGCACAGGGTCATTACTGATGGTCAGTACATTTGCACTGGTTTAAGTCCTTATATTTTAATATGAGTAGATTCAGAAATACTTGTAATAATATTTATTTCGTCATTGAACTTTACATCTCAGTTTTCTATAAAATATACTTGTCAATAATTACCTGGGATTACTTCAACACAGTGTTATAATTCAATGCTGGAAGTAGTATGTTATTATGGTGGAGGAGTTAAGATAACAAACACTGCACTCAGTCCTATTTCCTGCCTGGTATTTTGTTTTTGTGCGTTTAGGTTATTCTTCATTATCATGTTGGTACTGAATGTAGTTGCCGGTTATAGTGGGTTAGCTTAGTTAAAGATATTACCAACTTATAGCCAGGTCAGTAAACTGAGGAACACTGGTTTACTTACATAGTACAGAAAGACAATTGATACTAGATGATCAAATATAGAAATAGATCATCATGTTTTAAAATAATTTGTATTGGCACACTTAATTTGAAATGAGTTTAATCAGTCAGGTTTGTTGTAGTTTGGTCTATGCTGTCTACCTGATAGAAATGTTGAAAATCCAAATAGCAGTCACTACTTCAGACAAGTGCTCGTTCTGATATAATAATGCTCCCACTCAATGACAGTTCTACTCAGTCACTTGGTGTGGAACAGTATACATATTTATTTTGTATTATTTTAAGCATATTTTCTAATATAAGAAGCTCCATGTGTGTTTAAGATTGTTGTTGTATCATTGACATTTTTATGATTCATGGTCAGCTATATGTTTATAATAAATTGTCAGTAATTAAAATGATTGTATTCACTTTAATGTCATGATCAAATAAAATGTATTTATTTACTTCTTGCTTCTTCAACGACAAAGGAAATGTTTGTCTCTTGTCTGTGATCTCTAATCCTGAGACCAGCTACAGCACGCTGAGAATGAGTAGCAAAAAATTAAATACATTTTAACTTAGCAATGAAGACTCAGTTTTGTGAGGTTGACACTTTAACCCACACTTTGTAGCACCAGGCTTCTCTCTGTGGCTGAATTAGGACTTAATGTTCTTTCTAACCATTAGATATTACACATTTATTGCCTCAAAACCAGTGGAAGCAATTTTCAGCAGCCAGCAATTTTTTCCTGAAAGCAGTTGATAATCAGAAGGAGTGGGAGGTGCAGAGGGTGATACAGTTTTGCAAGTGGGCAATTAGTTTGCTCACTAGAGTTGGGAGTAGGTTTGCTTAAATATTCATATGCCGGTTGTAGGCTCATTTAACACTTACAGTGCAAACGAGTAGGCTACACTTCATCCATCTTACCGGCATATTAGCAGTTTAACATATATTCTTGAAAAAGACTGAATGAAGTTCAAACCCAAAAATTTTTACAGCCTCTCAATGTCAGGTCTGGACACATTTTGGACTGAAGTTGGAAGTCAGCCCAGGATTTCCATTACAGTGAAATACAATAGGATTAAAACTTACATAGAGAAAGCCGTGTTAAGATTATGGAGCACATTCAAGCCCGTCAACAATACAGTTCATTACCCTGTGAACTAACACCGAGGACAGGCCTGAAAGGAAATAAAGATGACAAACTATTCAGGAAAAATATCCCAACGTTTCTTCCAGATTGTCATGGCAGAATCTTGTACAGCTGCAGTGACAGGATAGCAAGGCACATCAAAGTCTGCTTTCTGATAGGGTTTGAAACTACTCAGAGAAGGCCAATGTCAAAAGACAGTAGGTCAAGTGTGATTGTAGAAGTCAGTGTTGGTGTCCTGAAAGTTGAGGTTAACACAGTAGCATCAAGGATGATAGGAAGGACCAATGATGATGGATAGTAGGTCATTAAAGGTGGAGTAAGAGTGATGGAGTAAGACCGCATCTTAAGACTTAATTGGTTGGCCACCACCTGATAGTTTGGGGCCAGCCACTGTGCCTTTAGACAGGAGTGCTACTCATTGCTTGACCTATAATCAACCAACTCACCATTCCTAACAGCTCCTAATGTAAAAAATGAACCAAAGACATAATGAACTCCAGCCCAATGGCTGACTTATGGACAGTTTCTCCTTTTAGCTGGCAAATATCTCTCAAACTCTGGGGTATATTTTTAAGGTGAGAGGAGGAAGATTTAAAAAGGACATGAGGCATAACTTTTCATGAGTGGAATGAACTGTCAGAGAATGTGGTGGATGTGGGTACAGTTACAATGTTTAAAAGACATTTGGATAAGTACATGAATAGGAAAGATTCAGAGGGATATGGGCCAAGTGCAGGCAGGTGGGACTAATTTAGTTTGGGATTATGATCAGTATGGACTAGATGGACTAAAGGGTCTGTTTCCATGCTGTATGACTCTATAATTTTTAGTGACTTCATATTTATCTAATTCTTCCCACCACGGAATAACATAACCATAACATATCAGTGTCTGCATTCATATAAAGAATGCAGGTTTTTAAATTCTTTTGTCTATTCTGAAGAGAGGCACTCATCTTTTAAATCAAAATTGATAAAGAAAGTAATATAATCATGGATGACATATTGGGAATTTATCAGATCTGGTAGTATCAGTGGACAGAAATCAGAGTTAACATTTAAGGTCAAGTGACCCTTACTCAGAACTGAGTTCCGACCCGAAATGTTAACTCTGATTTCTCTCCACAGATGCTGCCAGACCTGCTGAGCTTTTCCAGCAATTTCTGTTTTTGTTTCTGATTTACAGCATCCGCAGTTTTTTCTGTTTTTTTAGTTCTAAATGGACCCCTCAAATTTCAAATCTAATGTTGAGCTCACGTTTTGTACACCTTATTTGCAGCCATAACTTTGTATTCCTTGCTTTGTTCAATCTCCCTGTGATCTATATGTTATGATCTGCCTGTATTGTGCACTAAACAAAACTTTTCACTGTACTTAGGTACATGGGACAATAATAAATCAATCAAATTAAATCAAAATTATTTGATTGATTTGTTCTCCATGCGATTGCTATTGAGACTTGTGTTTGGCATCATCTGCACAATGTAAAGTGGACAAAAGACATGGAATAAACTGTTGTGGTGGTATATAGCAATGTGAGCCAGAGAGTTATGGTGGCAAAATTGGCCCCGCTGGCTGAGAAATCTTTTCCAACAATATGACTTTGAAAGGCTGTCTCTCCTCACCGTTCAAGAAGATCAAGGTAGTTCCATTATGTCCTGGTTAATGTCATTCAACCAACATCATTAAAACAAATCATCTGCCCATTACCTATTGCTTTTTGTAGGACCTTGGTAACAGCGAAGTGGCTTCCACATTTTAAAGAACCACCTCAGATATATGATGGACTGAATGCTCTTCTGTGCTGTATCATAATAGGGCTCTATGTACGACAATGATGCTGTGCCATAATGCCCTATTTCGTTAGGGGTCACTGTAACCTATGGCTATGGGAGTGGAAGGTCTGGACCCTCTGCTGAGTCCCCATTCCAGCCAGTGCTACTGAGGTTTGCCTGGTGAGACTCATGATACCTGCATTGAGAATACGTCACGTAGCAACTGGAAACGTAACAGTGGGGACTCTCAAAATTGAGAATCACTAACCCTTTGCCAATATGCCAATGGTAATATCATGGGCAGTAAAGATTTAGTTTTTAAATTGGACCTCACTTTTGTCATCCTTAGTGTTTTTGTGCAAGTCACCATCCAAGATCACAAGAAGGACTGGAAAGTATATCTACATTTATTTTCTGAGGAAGTGTCACCGGACCCAAAATGTTAACTCTGTTTATTCCTTCACAGATGCTGCCAGACCTGCTGAGCTTTTCCAGCAACTTCTGTTTTTGTTCTACATTTATTTTAATGAGCTTACCAGCTTGGCTGAAACATGAAATCATGGTACAAACTCCCCTTTGTTATAAACCTTATAATAACTAGTTGGTGAAGGAAGAAACCAGAGACAGTCTTTACCTGGAATAGGCTTATTGACAGAGTAAAACATTAGATTTTAGATTTGGGTTTTATTTTCACGTGTACTCAAGTATGGAGTACAAGAGCACAGTGAAAAGTGTACAATGTCACCACAAATGGCACCATCTTAGGTACAAAGTCGTAGTTAGAGAAATGGGAAAATAAAGAACTAAGTTAAAAAGTTCAGCACTACAGTCTCCTCAGCATAAAAGTAAATAAATAAAGAAATAAAAGTTAAAATGTCAAACATTACAGTCCTTTTTTGAGCCATGGGCTTGTAGATGCTCCAAGCTGGGTTTCCCCAAGAGGGCTCTCTCTCCCCTGCATGAGACCAGTCTGGGCGCACACCAGGCTTCGCTGCCACTTGCAAAGCTTCGGACACGACGGTCACATCGCCGCTGACCGCGGCTAGCACCATCTGGGCCCCAACTGCTGCTGCCATGCTCTGTCCCTCAGTCATGGCTCCAGCTTTACGAATTCTCAAGGTTCGCACTGGGCTCACTCGAGGTCTGCGGGATCCTCTGCCGACGCCATCCAAGCTCAAGAGCTAAGTGAGGAAAATAGAAGACAGACAAAGAAAAGCATTCGGAGCAGACGAGGAATCCTACTCTGCCTCCATCTTGGATAGACGGGTATATATCTCCAGACTCCACATTACTCCTATATCAGTGAGTGCCTCTTTAAATGTGCTCACACAACCATCCGATCAAATACACTTCAACCGATACAGTTAACAACTTTGGAGAGCCATGATGTGGAGGTGCCAGTGTCGGACTGGGGTGGACAAAGTTAGAAGTCACACAATACTGGGTTATGGTCCAACAGATTTATTTGAAATCCCAAACTTCCGCAGCGCTGCTCTGTCATCAGGTGAAGTGGGGGGAAGCACACAGGCACAGGATTTATATGCAGAAAGATAAAGATAAGATAATTCCAGGTAATGAAGAATGTCAAATGGTGTGGGTGGAGTGTCAACAGGTTGAATGACAACTCTTTGCTGCTGATCAAAAGTGTCAAACGGTGTGAGTAAAGTGTCAACAGCTGAATAGAGCAAGTGAAGGGATGACCTATGATCTGATTAATAATCACAAAAAAAATCAAAAATAGAATGGTGCTAGAGACAAACCAAATGGCCAGAATAACATGATGGGTATAAGGGTCACATGACAAAGGTCTAACCAAAGTAACAAGTAACCCATGTTATTCCGGCCATTTGGTCTGTCTCTAGCACCATTGTCTATTTTCTCTACTACCTCAATTTTTATTGTCAGCAGTTGTATTCAGCAACTAAGGCAGTTGGTTTCAGTAAAAAAAATCAATTGAACTTAATTCCTGTTCTCACGCTCTTAGAAATGCATACTCCCTTATACTCAGTCTGACTCATCAAATTGTAATTCAGAAAACAGGCAACAATTTCTAACATAGTGCAACAACAAAAACGTCAATGTGCTTTTTTTTGGTTTTCTTTTATTCACAGTCTATCACTTGAAGCTCAATACTGAAGCATAATAAGGGATTGCACAAAAATTGCTCCCAGCTACTCAGATGTTTTTATAAGACTAGTCAGCAGCTCAAGCACATATGACTAGGTTTGACAGGATTTCATTATCAATGCATGAATAATTTTGCTTTTTCTTTTAAAACTTGCGTATTTCAAATTAGGAGCTGGGAAATTAAGAATTTAAACCAGGATACAAAGCAGCTAGTGAATTTGGTTATTTATGATTACTAGTAAGACTCATTAGCACAGGCCCATGTCCTG